GTGATTGGCCCAAAGTCACCCAGCTGGCTTTCATGCCTAAGGCGGGACTAGAACTCCCCATCTTGTGGTGATTGGCCCAAAGTCACCCAGCCGGCTTTCATGCCTAAGGTGGGACTAGAACTCACTGTCTCCTGGTGATTGGCCCAAAGTCACCTAGCTAGCTTTTATGTCTAAAGTGGGACTAGAATTCACAATAAATAGTCTGATTTCTAGCCCAGCACTGTAGCCACTATTTTACTGTTCCACAAGCTCAGCAACTTTTTAAGTTGTGTGGACTTTGACCCTCAGGTTGGAGGCCCCTGTGCTTCCTAACCTTTTAAGAGTGTAGAAAATGGAGTGTTTCTCCTTTTAGTTGTACCGGCCAAGAAAGGGTTCTGCTTGACTCAGTATTCTTATTGTGGGGAAATAGACTCTTAGGTGTCATGCCATGCCTTAGTGTGAGAGCTTCGTTGCACCAAAATCATGATATCCATCCAGCATATCTAGGAAAGGGCACAGAATTGATCGAAAGAGAAACCAGGATGGGATAACATGAGAGGGAAGTTTTTGGCGAAGAGACTGAAAAGATGGGTGAGTAGATAGATGGATGGGTGGGGGGATGAAAGGAAGGAAGGAAGGAGAGAAAATGGGGAGGGAGGGAGGAAGGAAAAGGAAGGAAGGAAGGAAGGAAGGAAGGAAGGAAGGAAGGAAGGAAGGAGAGAAAATGGGGAGGGAGGAAGGAAAGAAAGGAAGGAAGGAAGGAGAGAAAATGGGGAGGGAGGAAGGAAGGAACGAAGGAAAGAAAGGAACGAAGGAAGGAAGGAAGGTAGGTGTGTTCAACGATTAATATCCATGTGTGTTCTTGCATACTTGTTTGAGGGAGGAAGGTAGACTTATCAATGGATTGCACGCTTCTGTATTTTTATAAATAGAAAAGTGATATATGGGTCAGTAGTAAGAAACAAAGTTGAGGGTGGAAAACTTTCTAATCCTGGAATAATTGACTCCATTTCTAGGTTGGTTCATTCATTCCTTCATTCCTCACCTTTTCTCATTTTTACGAATACCTCAAGGCGGTGAATATATCCAACACCCCTTCCTCTTTTTCCCCCATAACAACTTGGAATAGCGTTATTGTCACTTTGAATCTACACCTATCGGCATATATTAAAATGAAATTTCGTGGCATACAGTTCTCAGAAGGGTCACCACCTCCAATATACAGCCCTGTGAGGTAGGCTGGGCTGAGAGAGAGGGACTGAGCCCAAGTCACCTACCTGGCTTTCCTTCCTCAGGTGGAGCTAGACGTCAGGGCTGGCCCAAATTCTATCTTAACAGAAGGGGAAGGGGAAGGGGTGGAATTATTGGGAGCGTCGGGAGAGGCCACGCCTGAGAAAGTTCCAGCACTTCAAGGTCATGTTATGGAAACTTTTCCAACGGCGCAGACTGTTTCCCAAAGCACAAAGAATGTGTTGGGATTTGTGGACAATGGACAGTGGGTGGCCTAAAGAGGGAATTCATTCACGCTGCTTTCTGTGGGAACCTTTAGAATTGGCTTTGCTTCTCCTGTGCCTCTATCCATGATGGTGAACCTATGGCACACCTGCCTCAGGTGGCACGCAGAGCCATTTGTGTGGGCACGCAAGCCCCGGCCACACTTACCTGCACTGTGCATGCGCGCGCCTCCCAGCTGATTTCCAGCCCGTTTAAGGCCATTTTTCCCTCCTGAGGCTTGAGGGAAGCCTCTGCAGCCTCAGGAGGCCAAAAAACAGGTCTTCCAGAAAGACTGAAAGTGCCGAAATGGGCCCATTTTCAGCCTCCCTCGAGCCCCCGGGAGGGCGAAAACGGCCTCCCTCAGGCTCCAGAGGCCCTTCCGAGGCTGAAAACGGGCACTTCCGGTATTTCCAGAAGGCCCATTTTTCGGCCTGCCGAGGCAGCAGAGGCTTCCCTCAAGCTTCCAGAAGGGTGAAAGCAGCCTCAAACGGGCCAAAAATCAGCTGGGAGGCAACATGCCCAGTGCACGTAAGCGGGCGCGGCGGGGGTGTGGCACAGGCACGCGTGGGGGGAGGGTGCATTGCATAGAGTTGATGGATGCTAAAACTCGCCATTACCTGCTTTCTAGCCTGGTGACTTTAACTTACTCAACGTATGTAAGAGAAGAGCCTGGAGAATTGCTTAAGTAGAATTGTTTCTAGCTACTCTTGTTAGTTTTCTTTGGGCATAAGAGCGCGTTGGATTCTTGGAAGTTCTGTAGTCTTTCAGAATATCTCTTGATTAACGACAGAAGAAAGTGGAAGCCACTTATTCTTCATCTGCCCTTTTTTCAGTACCCGGCCCGGTAACTGTGACCATGTCTACGAGGATGATATGCCGAAGATTTTCAGGGCGATCTTGTAAGGCACCGGCATTTCTCAAGACGGAGACCGCGAAGAGCTTCCCCCACGAAGAAGAGGGCCAAAGCATCCAAAGAAGGGGCAGAGACCCTAAACTTGCCATTGTGCTCAAGGCTTGGAAGCCACCAGGCTACCCGTTGCATCCTTATCCCTCCATTTCCCGGAAATCCAAGTCTCTCCTTCACAAGGGTGCCCTTGGAGAAGGAGCTCTGGAGTATGTTCGCTCCCGAACGAGCGTTAGATGCATCCAGAACGCGCCCAGTGTTTTCTGTCTCCCGGGACTTTCGAGAACAAAGAACATATTTCCAGATTTGGGAAACGGCTACGCTTTCTGCACTCGGGCATCCCCGAGAGACTCGTGGCTGCGGTCCTCCGCAAGGAACGACAAGGACGAGGCCCATTCCAAGCCTCAAGGCAGTAAGGAAGTGGCTAGACAATTCCAGAAGCAAAGGCCCGGGTACAAATCTCTGTGTTACAACCCCGATGAACGCCGTCAGCCCCTTTCGGCCGAGGAGTGTCATTTCATCCTCCAGAACGTTTCCGTGCTGAAAGAATACATGAAGCCCAAGGACATCGTGAAGTCTTTCTCCCGGCTGAGCCATTTGCCCGCAGAAAAACACCGGGAGTTCAAATCTGGCTCCAGATTCGCGGTGCTGTGTCAGGGCGTCGCCAAGAACGCCCGCCTGTTCGGCAACGCGGAGCTGATCATGCTTTTGAAGGCCTTTGTTGCCTTGGGCATCCCGCCCGCCCACTATATGTTGAAGGCCCTAGAAGCCGAATTCGTCCGACGGGTGGAGGACCTGAGTTTGGATCAGCAACTGCTGGTAGCCGATCTCTGGCGTTGCCTGAATTGCAGGGTCCCCCAATATCTGGGTGCCATGTTGAACGATATCAACGTGAATTGGAAGGATCTGTCTTTGACTCAGTTGGTCCAGCTGGCTTACATCGTCGGCGAAGGCCGAATGGTCCCGGAAGAGTTAGCAAAGAAATTGGAGGCCTCGGCTTTGAAGCATTTGCAGGCCCTCAGTCTGGAGGAAGTCGGGATCATCTGCTTAGGCTTCTTCAAGTCCCAAAGCAATATGTCCGAACTCCTCTTGAGAAAAATCGGAGACAAAATTTGCGGCTCCTTGGGCGACATGAGCAGCTTTGCCATCGTGAATGTGCTCAAGATGTTCCGCGGGGTTCACCTGGACCACTTGGACTTCCTCAAGGAGCTGGGGCACGTCATTCCTCCCAGAATTGCCACTCTCAGCATGCCAGGGGTCATGCACATCGCGTTCGCCTGCTCCTCGTTGCATTACTGCGACGGAGACATCCTGGACGCGATTGCGGCCACGGTCCCTTCCAAGGCAGCAGCGTGCCGTACCAAAGACATCGCGAAATTGCTGTGGTCCTTTGGAACCTTGAACTACCAGCCTCCCAACGGAGAAGAGTTTTACACCAGCTTGTTGGAACAGCTGGAATCGAGGCTCTTCGAATACAATAAATTCCCTGAGCACCTGATCACTTCCTTAATCGGGTTGGCCTTTTTGGAGCGTTTCCCCTACGATTTGCTGGACTACACTTTGAGTCCCGAGTTTATTGAGTTAAGCAGAAGCTGTAAACATGACCTCTGGAAAGATTTTTTCACCCTCGACGGCACGGTGGGAATCGAGTGTCCGGGCTACACCGGCAGCCGTCTGAGTAGCCAAAGCAAGGAAGAGATGGCGGGGAAAATGCAGAATTATTTCTTGAAGCAGGAATTTGATGCGGCTTGGTACCTTCTGGAGGAGATACTGGGCGGCCCTCAGTTTGTCAAGCTCCATGCCGTCCTGCCTCACGTCAGGTCCGTGGATTTAGAAATCCGTTTGGACGCCGACCGGAAGCCGTTGCCGTTTAATCCGGAAGGCGCAGACGGAGGGCGCTTGGAACTGAAAAAAAACGGCACCCTCCTGACCGATAACATCATTCAGCGGCTTCTGAAAGGAAAATCACTCGGCCCGCCCGGCCGAGAAAGCGAGAAAGATCAGTATATTCAGGAAAGGGCAGAGTCGCGCGGACTGCCTGTTTGGAAAAAAATTGAATTTCCCGATGCCGACCCTGGTTTGGAGACTTCGGCTGGTGGGAAAGTGGAAGGACAACCGTCTCCGACAAACCAGGAGCCGCGGGAATGTGTGAAGTTAGCCCTTCAGGTCACCAATCGAAACCAATACCGGTATCACTCGAGAGAGCTGCTGGGACTCCATGCTATGAAAAGGAGACAGCTCCGTCGAATTGGGTACATACCAGTAGAACTGCCTTTTTGGGAGTGGTTCCCGTTACTCAAATGTAACCGGGAGGAACAGCGGAAGTATTTGTACCAGAAAGTGTTTGAAAGGTAGCCAGAACATTCCGTAGAAGCGGCTTCAAAACCCTCGCGGCGATGGCTTGAGTTTTGAGCTTTTGAGATGACGTAGGATGGAAGCCCCATCTTGCGAACCAGACTTGTGTTTTCCAAGCTGCTTAATTTCTGATTCCCTCTCCCTCTGCGAGGGTTGTGGTTAATATATTTGAAGAGGGGTAATGCTAGCTTTCATCCTGGGCCTCTTGTGAGGGCGAAAGGATTTCACTGTCATCCTTAAGAAAATAAAATGTAATTTCTAATGCAATTGGATTTCACTTAGGCTTCATAACTTTGCCTCCGAAGGAGCAGCCATTGTAACTTGAAAAAAAACTCAAGGAAAGCAGAACTTTGTGAATATTCATTTTATTTATTTACACAAAGGGAGGGAGGGAGGGAGGGAGGGAGGGGGAGAGAGAGAGAGAGAGAGAGAGAGAGAGAGAGAGAGAGACCAGCAATCGAATTGCCACATCTCACATTCAGTTTCTCACATACTTGACAGCCTGAGAAATGGGAATTAAAAGTTGCCTGAATTGGGAGAGATGTGAGAAGAATTGTAAAATGCTTTGCGGGTGTATATATACGCGTACGTGAGAAAGAGAGTTGGATGCGTGCATAGATGAATAGGAGTGGGTGGCAGCGTCTGTCCCACGCTGATTGATCTTGGAAGCGAAGTAGGATTGTAATTATTTGAATGGGAGACCACTAAGAAATCCTTGGAGTGTGGGTTAGACTGGGAAGACAGGAAATATCTCAGGGAGGCATGGGGAAATCACTTCTGTCTTGCACACCAAATAAATAAATCTTATCTAATCTGTTTATCTATTTTGGAGGTGGCTAAGCGAGTTTTGCCCTGTTTTACGCCCCTTTCTTGCCACCGTTGTTAAGTGAATCACTGCATTTATTAAGCTAGTAGCCCGTTTGTTAAGAGAATCTGGCTTCCCCATTGACTTTGCTTGTCAGAAGGTTGCAAAAGGGGAATCACTGCAACTGTCATAAGTACATGCCAGTTGTCAAGCCTCTGAATTTTGATCATCTGACCACGAGGATGCTGCAGTGGGTCGTAAGTGCGAAAAACGATCCTGTCACTTTTGTTCAATGCCGTTGTCATTTTGAATGAAGCGTTGTAAGTCGAAGACTATGTGTGTGTGTGTGTGTTACGTTTTTGCAGGTATTTAACTTTAAAAGCACAACTACAATGATGTGGGAAAATACCCAAACAAAGCTGAATGCCACACATACACACACACACACACACACACACATATATATTCTTATGTTTTCGTGGGTATTTATATGTATGGTATTTAGGTTTCTTCGGGTATTTTCCCACGTCATTATAATTGTGCTTTTAAAGTTTCGGTAGAATCTCATCTGCCATCATCAGGCTTCTGTATTGTGTTCGTCTGTGAGTCAGACTTTCACAGCCGTTTCAGTTAGAAGGTAGATTGGAAATCCAGATAGTCCTTGACTTACAACAGTTCATTTAGTGACGGCGCTGGGAAAAATGACTTACGGCCGTTTTTCAGAGTTACGACGTTTGCATCTTCCCCATGGTTGTGTGATCAAAATTCAGATCCTTAGCAACTGACTCATACTTACGACCGTGGCAGCGTCCCCTGATCCCCTTTGGCGACCTCCCGACGAGCAAAGTCAATGGGGGAAGCCAGGTTTCACTTAACGACCGGGTTACTAACTGACCAACTGCGGTGATTGGCTTAACGGTGGCAAGAAAGGTTGTAAAATGAGGCAAAATTCGTGTGACAGAGGCCTCACAACACAAATTTGGGGTTCAATTGGGATGGTAACTTCAGGACTATCTGTGGTTCATCGTATGATGGGATTATAGTTGTTGGTCTGAGATTCACATGCCTTGTTTTAGGCAAAGGTCTTCAAACGTGGCAAATTTAAGCCTTGTGGACTTCAACTCCCAGAATTCCTGGAGCTAACATGACTGGAGGAGGAATTCTGGGAGTGGAAATCCACAAGGCTTAAAGCTGCCAAGTTTGATGAGCCTGGTTTTAGGTGTCAGTTTAGCCTTTCTCTTCTACAGGGTTGCTAATTCTCACCCCCTGCTAATTATAATATTCATTGCAATTATTTTATAACCACCCTATGCCACCCATTCCCCACTTTCATAGTCTGTAGACTAATCCTGTCCTTTTGGGGTTGTTGCGAATCATTGCTTCAAATGATGGTGAATAATCAAAGAAGAAAGTTAACAGAATAACCGAGTTGGAAAGGATCCGAGAGGTCTTCTAGTCCAACCCCCTGCCTAGGCAGGAAACCCTACACCATTTCAGACAAAGGGTTATCCTAGCTGGCTGGGGAATTGTGAGAGATGGAAGTCCACATCTTTTTAAAAAACTTCAGTGTTGAAGCATTCACAGCTTCTGGTGGCAAGTTGTTCCACTGATTAATTGTTCTGACTCTCAGGAATTTCCTCCTTCGTTCTAAGTTGCTTCTCTCCTTGATGAGTTTCCACCCGTTGCTTCTTGTCCTGCCTTCTGGAGCTTTGGAGAACAGCTTGACTCCCTCTTCTTTGGGGCAGCCCCTCAAAATATTTGAACCCTGATCTCCTGTCTCCCCTGGTCCTTCTCTTCACTAGACTAGCCAGGCCCAGTTCCTGCAACCGTTCTTCATGTGTTTTAGCCTCCGTTCATCTTTGTTGATTAATCTTTGCGTACCTTAAATTTATTGTTTATTTCTCTCCCACATTTATGGGTGGAATCAGTGGTGGGATTCAAATAATTTTAACAACCGTTTCTC